AAAATATTTTAAACTTGTATAGTTTAAATGGTTAAAACATTTGTCTCATAAACAAATAATGTAAGGTTCAAATCCTTCTACAAGTATTAACTACAATTTAATAATATTATAATATATAATATAATATATTATAATAATCTAATTAATTAATAATTAGATAAAATAAAAATAAAATAAAATATGAAATTAATAAAATTATTAAAATTAAATATTAATAATAATAATAATAATAAATTATTATTAAAGAATTTATTATTATTAATAAATAAGAATAGATTAATAAATAAATTAAGTAATAATAATAAATATTTAAGTGAATTAAATAATAAAGGTAATAGTTTACAACATTTAAATAATATAAATAATTGAAAATTACAGAATTATAATTATAATAAAAATAATCTTATTAATAATTATATTAATAGTAAATTAATTAATAAATTATTATATAAATTAATATCATTAAAAAATAATAAAATTATTATTAGTAAACCATTATATAAAATTAATATAAATGTAATTAATATTAGATTTTATTATTATAATATAAATAATTATAATTATAATAATAATATTTATTATATTAATATAATTAATAAATTAATAAATAGATTAAATATTAATATAAATAATTTAAGTAATATTTTAAGTTATTATTATAATAAAAAAGTTATTATTGAACCTATTAAATTAAAATATTTATATAATAATAATGAAATTATAACTAAATATATTAGTTTATTAGATAATAATAAATATAATAATGGTTTATTAATAGAATATCAAAGACTATTAAATAATATTATGCCTAAATTAAATGATCATAATATCTCTATAAATTATATTAATAATATTAATAATATTAATAAATTAAAATATAATAATATTTTATTAAATAATAATAATAATATTAATAATATTTATAATAATATTAATATTAATAATAATATAAATTTATTAATGTTTAAATATTTAATTGGTTGATCTATTATGTTAAAAGGTAGATTAAATAAAAATATTAGTAGAATTAGTACTCTATATTTAAATAATGGTACTTTTAATAATAAAAAATATTTATGAGGTAATTTAAATAATAATTTTAAATTAAATTATATTAATAGTAATAATAATATCTATAACTATAATAATATTAATAAAAATGGTAAATATAATATTAAAGTTAAATTAAATTATATTTAATAAATATATCTAACAAAATATATTATAAATATAATAATAATAATAAACATAAATATTTAATATTTAAAATAAATTATTTTAAATATATATATATAATAATATATAATATTTTAATTAAATTATATACAATAATAATATAATATTTAATATTTAAATTATATTTAATTATTTAATAATATATATAATAATAATATAATATTAAAGTTAAAATATATTTAAATTATATATAATAATATAATATTTAATATTTAAATTATATTTAATTATTTATTAATTAATTAATTAATTTATTAATAATATTTATATATATTATTATATAATATAATATTCTTTATATAAGTAATTATATATAATATAGGAGGGATTTCCAATGTTGGTAATTGGAGTTGAGCTGTAAACTCAATGATTATATATCTTCATAGGTTCAATTCCTATTCCCTTCATTTTATTAATTAATTTAGTCTTTATGGCTTAGTGGTTAAAGCATCTCACTGTTAATGAGAATACATAGGTTCAATTCCTATTGAAGACGTATATATAATATAAATAAGGGGGTTATAGTTAAATTGGTAGAACAATTGTGTTGCATGCAATAGATATGAGTTCAATTCTCATTAACTCCATAAATATATATATATATATATGTATATAATTATAGAAACTATAATTCAATTGGTTAGAATAGTATTTTGATAAGGTACCAATATAGGTTCGATTCCTGTTAGTTTCAATATAAAGGATATAGTTTAATGGTAAAACTATTGATTTCAAATCAATCATTAAGAGTTCGAATCTTTTTATCCTTGGTATAAGTAATAATAATAAAAATAATAGATTTGAAATATTTATTATATAGATTTAAAGAGATAATCATGGAATACATATATTATAATAATATTATATTATAATAATACTATTAATAGTTAATTAGGTTACTAATAAAATATATATATTATATTATATATATTTTTAATACCTAAAGGTAAACCTTAAATTATATATATATATTAATTTATTTTATATATAATAAAATAAGACTAAGTGAACTGAAACATCTTAGTAACTTAAGGAATAAAAATCAACAGAGATATTATGAGTATTGGTGAGAGAAAATAATAATAGGTCGTAAAAAGTATTATGTATTAATTAATATGTAAGAATATAGGATTAACAATTTCTAAGACTAAATACTATTAATAAGTTAAGAAAGTACCGTGAGGGAAAGTATGTAAATGGTTATTTTATAAGCAATTATAGATATTATATATAATATCAATAATGTACCTTTTGTATAATGGGTCAGCAAGTAATTAATATTAGCAAAATTAAATAATTATATAAAAATAGAAATAAATATATATATAAAAATATATTAAGAGTTAATATTAATTGACCCGAAAGCATATGATCTTACTATGACAAGATGGTTAAAAACGATCGAACAGGTTAATGTTGCAAAATTATCTGATTAGTTGTGGTAAGGTATGAAAGATAAATCTGATATGCAGATAGCTGGTTTTCTATGAAATATATGTTAGTATAGCCCTTATAATTAAATAATTAATAATAATATAATAATTTATTATATTATTATTGAATGGTACAGCAATTAATATATATTGGGGAATTATTATAATTTTATCAATAATATTTAATCTCGAAATATTTAATTATATATAATTAATTTAATTAATTATATAATTTATAAGGAGTCAGATTATGTGCGATAAGGTAAATAATCTAAAGGGAAACAGCCCAGATTAATATATAAAGTTCCAAATTTTATAAAATATATATAAAAAAAATATATTTAATTTATAAATTTAATTTATAAATAATAATAAGTGAAAATAATATTAAAATATTATTAAATAATCAGTTAATGGGTTTGACAATAACCATTTTTTAATGAACATGTAACAATGCACTGATCAATAATATTATATAATATTTCAAATTAAATTAATTTTTAATTAATTTATTAATAAACAATATACGGATCTTATTAATTATAAAAATTATTAAACTGAATATTTAAATATTATTAATTATTATTAAAATAATTAATAATATGGTAATAGAACATCTAATGAAAGAGTATATTAATTAAATATTAATATATTAATAAATAATTAGATAGAGAATGCTGACATGAGTAACGATAAAAAGGTTTAAACCTTTTCACCTAAAACATAAGGTTTTACTATAAAAGTACGGCACCTAATATAAATATGAATATAAATATATTATAGATGGTAAAAATCTAATTTAATAATAAAAATCTTTATAGATATATATTATATATATATATAAATTAATAAAGATCAGGAAATAAATTATTAAATGTATACCGTAATGTATACCGACTCAGGTATGTTAGTAGAGAATATGAAGGTGTATTAGATAATTAAGGATAAGGAACTCGGCAAAAATAGCTCTAACGTTAGTCAATAAAGAGATATAAAAACAAGGTTGTACAACTGTTTACTAAAAACACCGCACTTTGCAAAAACTATTTAAGTTATAGTATAAGGTGTGAACTCTGCTCAATGCTTAATATATAAATTATATATTTATTAAAGAATATATAAATAAATTTAAGTAAATAGCAGCCTTATTATGAGGGTTATAATGTAGCGAAATTCCTTGGCTGATAATTACAGTCCCGCATGAATGACGTAATGATACAACAACTGTCTCATCCTTAAACTAAGTGAAATTGAATTTGCAGTGAAGATGCTGTATATTTGTAGTTAGACAAGAAGACCCTATGCAGCTTTACTATAATTAGATAGATCGAATTATTATTTATTATATTCAGCATATTAAGTAATTTATATATATATATATATATATAATAATCGTTTAGATATAAATGAGATACTTATTATAATAATATAATAATTCTAATCTTTAATAAATATATATATATTTAATAGAAAATTAATATATTCTTAAATATATTTTATAATATTATTATTATTAATAATATTATATATTAAGAGACAATCTCTAATTGGTAGTTTTGATGGGGCGTCATTTTCAGCAAAAGTATCTGAATAAGTCCATATATAAATTATTATAAAATTTTATTTATAATATAAAGTATATATTATATATACTAATTATAAAATATATTATATATTTTTATATATATAATATAATAATAGAAAAATTATATACAGTAAAATTGTCTGGAAAACAATAATATTTATTTATTTTTAATAAATATTAAATTAATATAATAGTATAACTGTGTAAAGATTATGACACAAACAAGTGGAATAAGTACGTAAGTATGGTATAATGAACAAATAATACTGATTGTAAAGGTTATTGATAACGAATAAAAGTTACGCTAGGGATAACAGGGTAATATAACGAAAGAGTAGAAATTGTAAGTTATGTTTGCCACCTCGATGTCGACTCTACCTATCCTATTGGTTGTAAAAGCTAATAAGGGTTCGACTGTTCGTCGATTAAAAGGTAACGTGAGTTGGGTTAAATACGACGTGAGTCAGTATGGTTTTTATCTACTACAAATAATATTATCTTATTAAATCTCATTATTAGTACGCAAGGACCATAATGAATTAACCTATGGTGTACCTATTAATTATTATATTAAATAATACATAAATAATTTATTTATTATTTAATCAATATTAATTTATATCTTAATAATTGTTATAGTAGGTAAGCTAAGTTAATAAATAATAAATATTGAATACATATAAAATATGAAGTAGTTTTAAAACGATAATATATACTAATAATCTTATACTAAGATTAATATAGGTTTTATATATATTTTAATATACATAAAATACTAATTTATTAGTTATCTATATAATATCTAATCTATTATTTTTATTATTATTATTAATATTATATAAAAATAATTTATAATAATATTATATAAAATTATTTATAATAATATTATATAAAATAATTTATAATAATATTATATTAATTTAATATTTATTATATTAATTTAATAAAGTTATATTAGCTCAATTGGTAGAGCATTCGTTTTGTAATCGAAAGGTTTGGGGTTCAAATCCCTAATATAACATATATATATATAAAGGTAAATATATTTCAATGGTAGAAAATACGCTTGTGGTGCGTTAAATCTAAGTTCGATTCTTAGTATTTACCCTTAGATCTTATCGTCTAATGGTTACGACATCAACTTTTCATGTTGAAAATGTTGGTTCAATCCCAACTAAGATTAATATATAAAATATTATAATAATAATAAAATTATAATATTATTTATTTATTAAATAATAATAATTAAAATTATTTAATTAAATTAATTAATTTATTATATATATTAATTATATTATATATAATAAGAATATATAAATTATAAATATATAATTTTATATATATAAAGTATATATATATATATATATTATATTTATGTGTATATATATGTATATATTTAGAGTAAAATATTTTTATTATGGCATTTAGAAAATCAAATGTTTATTTAAGTTTAGTGAATAGTTATTTAATTGATTCACCACAACCATCAACAATTAATTATTGATGAAATTTAGGTTCATTATTAGGATTATGTTTAGTAATTCAAATTTTAACAGGTATTTTTATGGCTATGCATTATTCATCAAATATTGAATTAGCATTTTCATCAGTAGAACATATTATGAGAGATGTACAATATGGTTGATTATTAAGATATATGCATGCAAATGGAGCATCATTTTTCTTTATTTGTATGTATATGCATATTGCTAAAGGTTTATATTATGGTTCATATAGATCACCTAGAGTACTAGTATGAATTGTAGGTGTTATTATTTTTGTATTAACTATGGCTGCTGCTTTCTTAGGTTATTGTTGTGTATATGGACAAATGTCACATTGAGGTGCACTAGTAATTACTAATTTATTCTCAGCTATTCCTTTCGTTGGTCAAGATATTGTACAATGATTATGAGGAGGTTTCTCAGTATCTAATCCTACTATTCAAAGATTCTTTGCATTACATTATTTAGTACCATTTATTATTGCTGCTTTAGTAGTAATGCATTTTATGGCTTTACATGTACATGGTTCATCTAATCCTTTAGGTATTACAGGTAATATGGATAGAATTGGAATGCATGGTTATTTCATTTTTAAAGATTTAATTACTGTTTTTGTATTCTTAATTTTCTTCTCATTATTTGTATTCTTCTCACCTAATACTTTAGGACATCCTGATAATTATATTCCTGGTAATCCTTTAGTAACACCAGCATCTATTGTACCTGAATGATATTTATTACCATTTTATGCTATTTTAAGATCTATTCCTGATAAATTATTAGGTGTTATTCTTATGTTTGCTGCTATTTTAGTTTTATTAGTATTACCTATTACTGATAGAAGTGTTGTAAGAGGAAATACTTTTAAAGTATTATCTAAATTCTTCTTCTTCTTATTTATCTTTAATTTCTTATTATTAGGACAAATCGGACAATTACATATTGAACCACCTTTCGTATTAATGGGACAAATTGCTACATTCTTATACTTCGCTTACTTTATTATTATCGTACCTATTATCTCTACTATTGAAAACGTATTATTCTATATCGGTAGAGTTAATAATTAATTAATATTAATAATTTAATATATATAATATTCTTACTTTAATTATAAGTAATTATAAATGTAATATGATGTAATTGGTTAACATATTAGGTTCATGACCTAATTATATACGTTCAAATCGTATTATTGCTATATATATATATATATAATATATATTATATAAAGAAAAGTCATAAATAATAATAATATATTATTATTTAATTAAATAATAATAATATATTTAAATAAATAATATAAATAATTAAATTGAAATATATATTTATTTTAATAAAATATTATATATTAATAATATTTTAAATATAATTAATTAATATAATTAATTATATTATAGTTATATAATATACATAAATAAGCTTATATATAGTATATAGTATATATATATATTTTATACAGATAGAAGCCAAAAGGTCAGGCGCTTTCTTTGGGTGAAAGATCTAGTTAGTTCGAGTCTATCCTATCTGAATATATTATAATTTATAAATATATAAATTATAAATAATAAAAATTAATTAAAATAATTTAAATTAAATATATATATTAATATTATATTAATATATATATATATATTTTATATATATATATATGTATTGATTTATTTATATATATATTAATGAAATAATTATGTAATATAATTATGGTACAAAGATGATTATATTCAACAAATGCTAAAGATATTGCAGTATTATATTTTATGATTGCATTATTTAGTGGTATGGCAGGTACAGCTATGTCTATGATTATTAGATTAGAATTAGCTGCTCCTGGTTCACAATATTTAGCAGGTAATAATCAATTATTCAATGTATTAGTTGTAGGACATGCTGTTTTAATGATTTTCTTCTTAGTTATGCCAGCATTAATTGGAGGTTTTGGTAAAATAAACCTTTATAATAATTATTATATTAAATATAATTATAATAATAATAAATTATATAATTATAATAAATTATATAATAATAATAATTCTAAAAGATATATTAATAATAATAAATTATATATTATAAATATAAAAAGATATATAAGTTTATATAATAAAGATAAATTATATATTATAAATATAAAAAGAGATATAAGTTTATATAATAAAGATAAATTAGGACCTTATTTATCAGGTTTAATTGAAGGAAATGGTACTATTTGAGTACCAGAATATAATAATAAACTTAAGCCTTTAATTAATATTATTTTTCATATTATAAATAAACCTTTAGCTGATTATTTATGTAATATATTAAATATTGGTAAAGTTTATGATAGAAGTAATAAAGGTAAATATTGTATTTGACAATTACTTAAAATTGAAGATTTATATATTTTTATTAATTTAATTAATGGTTATTTAAGAACTCCTAAATATGAAACTTTAATTAAATTAATTAATTGAATAAATATATATATTGATAATAATAAATTAAATAATAATAATAATAATATTAATTATATTAAATATAAATCTATTGATAATTCATTATTAATAAATAATGGTTGATTATCAGGTTTTAGTGATATAAATAGTAATTTTATTATAATAATAAATAAAAAAAGAACTAATAATATAATTAAATTAAATTATAATTTAGAAATTAAACAATTATATAAAAATAATAATAATAATTTTAATTATTATAATTTAATAATAAATATTGCTAATTTATTTAATAATAATTTATTAATTAAAATAAAAAATATAAAATTAAAAAATAATAATTATAAACTTTATTATTTATATAATATTTCAATTAATAATAATATAAATAATTTATTATTAGTTAATAATTATTATATAAAATATCCTTTATTATCTATTAAATATTTAAATTATATAAATTGATCTAATTTATTATTAAATATTCATAATAATAATAATTCTTTTCTTAATATTAATAGTATTAATTTATATAATAAATTAATTATTAATAATAATAATATTAATAGAATTATTAATAATTATAATTGAAAACATTTAAATAATAATTATTATATAAAATAGTTGCCGTTATATATTGTAAAATATATAATTATTATATCACTATATTCTGGAAACTCCTAAAGCTTTATATAATATATACTAATAATTATAATAATAAATAAATTTATTTTATTTATTAATTTATAAATTATAAATTTATATATTGATAATTATAAAGATAATTTTATATAAATAATATTTATATAAAATAAATGGACAATCAGAAGGAAACGAAGATAATATATATTGTATATATTATATAATAGGATCCTCAGAGACTACACGTGATAAATATAATTAATTATATTAATTAATTATATTAAGATATAGTCCAGATTATATAGAAATATATAATATTTATTAAGAACTATATGTTACCATTAATGATTGGTGCATCAGATATGGCATTTCCAAGATTAAATAATGTTGGTTTCTGATTAATTGTTCCTGCTTTAGTTTGTTTAGTTACTTCTACATTAGTAGAAGCAGGTGCTGGTACTGGTTGAACTGTATTTATGATATGCAGTTATAAAATGTCACTTGATGCATGAAAAACCTTATATTTTTTATCTTTATATAATAAAATATATTTATTAAAATACTTAATTTATTATAATAATAATAATAATAAATTAGTTAAAATGTTTAATATTATAGGTTGATATGCCAGCATATTATATTATAATATATATAATAATAATATGTTTCAGAGACTAAACGTGACAAAATTAATTCATCTAAATAATATAAAAATAAATAATATAAAAATAAATAATTTAAATATAAATGAATGATTAGTAGGTATAACTGATAGTAATGGAATATTTAATATTTATATTAATAATAATAATAAAATTATTTTTACATATAAAATTTCATTAATAATTAATAATATTCAATTATTATATAAAATTAAAAATTATTTAAAAATTGGTTCTATTAATTATACTAATAATATAGTAATATATCTAATTAATAATAATAATGATTTATTAAATATTATTTTACCTATTTTTGATAAATATAAATTATTAACATCAAAAAGATTTAATTATTTATTATTTAAAAAATGTTTATTAATTAATAATAATAATAATTTTAATCAATTATTAAAAATTAATTTAATTAATAATATTATTAATAATAATAATAATAATAAATATAATAATAATTATATTTCTGATTCATGATATAATATTTATAAAAATTATAAAAATATTAATATTAATAATATAAAAATAATAAATAATATATTAGAAAATAATTTATTAATAATTAATAAAATTATAACTAAATCATGATTAATTGGTTATATAGAAACTAAAAGTTCATTTAAATTAATTAAAAAAGATAATAAAATTATTCATTATTTTAATATTAATATAATAAAATTAGATTATATTGTAATATATAGTATTAAATTATTATTAAATATTAATATTAATATAAATAATTATAAATTAGAACTATTTGATAATAAAAGTATTGAATATATTATTAATTATTTAAAATTTAATAATCATAAATCAAGATTATTAGGTATAAAAAGTTATGAATATCTAATTTGAAAAAGATCATATTATAAATATAAAAATAATAATAAAAAATTATTAATTATTAAAATATTATTAGATAAAAATATTTAGAAAGAATTAATTTAAGATATAGTCCAATCAATATAGTAATATATTGTTAATATTTAAAGGATATCCACCATTATCATCAATTCAAGCTCATTCAGGACCTAGTGTTGATTTAGCTATTTTTGCATTACATTTAACTTCTATTTCATCATTATTAGGTTCAATTAATTTTATTGTTACAACATTAAATATGAGAACTAATGGTATGACAATGCATAAATTACCATTATTTGTATGAGCTATTTTCATTACAGCTTTCTTATTATTATTATCATTACCAGTATTATCAGCAGGTGTTACAATGTTATTATTAGATAGAAACTTCAATACTTCATTCTTTGAAGTAGCTGGAGGTGGTGATCCCATTTTATACCAACATTTATTCTGATTCTTTGGTCATCCAGAAGTATATATTTTAATTATTCCTGGATTTGGTATTATTTCACATATTGTATCTACTTATTCTAAAAAACCAGTATTTGGTGAAATTTCTATGGTATATGCTATGGCATCTATTGGTTTATTAGGATTCTTAGTATGATCACATCATATGTATATTGTAGGATTAGATGCTGATACTAGAGCTTATTTCACTTCTGCTACTATGATTATTGCTATTCCTACAGGAATTAAAATTTTCTCATGATTAATTTATCCCTTTAGTAAGGATAATATGTTGATCATAAATAATTATTTTAATAATATCTTCTACACTCTTTATAATTATTATAATAAATATAATAATAATAATAATAAATATTATATTATTAATAATAATATTAAAGATTTAGTAATTTATGGTCTTAATTTAGAATCTAATGTAAATAAACCTAATTTTCTTAAAGATATTATAAATATAATAAATATTCCTAATAATTTATTATATATTATTGTAGGTATTTTATTAATAGATGGTCAAATTAATTATTCATCTAAAAAGAATTTAGATAATAAAAATATTATTGATATTAATTGTAAATTTAAATTAAAATTATCTATAAAAAATAAAGAATATTTAATTTATGTATATAAATTATTAGAACATTATTGTATTTCAATACCTAAATTAAAAAAAGATATAATAAGAGGTAAAGAATATTTAAAATTAGAATTTTATACTAGATCTTTACCATGTTTTACATTATTAAGAAAACATTTTTATAAAGGTAGAATAAAAATTGTACCTAATGATTTATATGATTTATTAAATTATGAATCTTTAGCTCATATAATTATATGTAATAGTTCATTTATTAAAAATAAAGGTATTTATTTAAATATACTATCATTTCTATTAAAAGAAATAATCTTTATTATAAATATCTTTATTATTAAATTTAATTTAAATTGTACTTTACATAAATTAAATAATAATTATATTATTTATATTAAATTTAAATCTATTAAATTATTATACAATAATATTAAAAATTATATTCTACCTTCTATAAAATATAAATTTTATTATAAATTAAAATTATTAAAATAATTATAAGAAGCAAACTCGAGGGAAACCCTATATTAAAAAATTATAAATATAATTTATATATATATAAAATATATATAATATATTAATTATATTAAATTATTAAGAAATTAATATATTAATTATATAAATTATTAAGGAATTAATATAGGATAATCGTCGAACTAAATTATATTAAGAAATTAATATATAAAAGCGTAGAGACTAGATGCTTCTGATAATCTAAGTAATTAAATAATTAAATATTTAATTATATGATTATATAAGGTATAGTCCAATGGAATCAGTAATGATTTTGAAGCAATACTTCAAATATTAATATATATATATATATTAATATCCTACCTAAATTATTATATTATATAATAATTATTAAAAAGGGAAAAAATAATATATTTAATTATTATTTTTTTTATAAATTTAACTAACTAATAAATAGTATATATTATAATATATTATTTATAGAATCTGAGATGATTTAAGGTTAAATATTAAGAGCAACAATTTATGGAGGTTCTATTAGATTAGCAGTTCCTATGTTATATGCTATTGCATTCTTATTTTTATTCACTATTGGTGGTATGACAGGAGTAGCATTAGCAAATGCATCATTAGATGTAGCATTCCATGATACATATTATGTAGTAGGTCATTTCCATTATGTATTATCAATGGGAGCAGTATTTTCAACTATTGCAGGATATTATTATTGAAGTCCTCAAATTTTAGGATTATATTATAATGAAAAATTAGCACAAATTCAATTCTGATTAATTTTTGTAGGAGCTAATGTACTATTTATGCCTATGCATTTCTTAGGTATTAATGGTATGCCTAGAAGAATTCCTGATTATCCTGATGCTTTTGCTGGTTGAAACTATGTAGCATCAGTAGGATCATTTATTGCTATGATCTCATTAGTTTTATTTATTTACATCTTATATGATCAATTTGTAAATGGTTTAACTAATAAAGCTAATAATAAATCAGTATTATATACTAAATCACCTGATTTTGTAGAATCTAATGAAATCTTTAACTTAAATACTATTAAAACTTCTTCTATTGAATTCTTATTAACTTCACCACCAGCTGTTCATTCATTTAATACACCAGCTGTACAATCATAATTTATAATAAATAAATTAATTATAATATTCTTTAATTATAAATAAAAAATATATTCATATAATTATATAATAATATAATAATTTACTATTATTATATTATGTAAGTTATTAATCTTATATATATATAATATATATAAGAATATTAAAATAATCTATTAATAATAATTTATTTATTATTAATGTTGTATTTATATTAAATATATAAAAAATATATAAATATGCCACAATTAATTCCATTTTATTTTATGAATCAATTAACATATGGTTTATTATTAATTACTGTATTATTAATTTTATTTTCACAATTCTTTTTACCTATAATTTTAAGATTATATGTATCAAGATTATTTATTTCTAAATTATAAATATAATTAATAATAATAATATATAATTATAATATAATATAATTAATAATATATAATTATAATATAATATAATTAATAATAATTTATATATATTAATTTAAAATATTTTTTTTTTTTATTAATATAAAATATAATATTATTTATTATATAATAATATTAATTTTAATAAGTTATAATATATATTTATAAAGTATGCAGAATACATTATTAAGAACATATATTAATTCACCGTTAGAACAATTTGAAGTTAAGCTATTTTTAGGTTTAAATACACCATTTATTGATTTAAGTGGTTTAAATATTACAACATTTACATTATATACTATTATTGTATTATTAGTAGTATCATCATTATATGTATTAAGTAATAATAATAATAAAATTATTGGTTCAAGATGATTATTATCACAAGAAGTAATTTATGATACAATTTTAAATATGGTTAAAGGACAAATTAAAGGTAAAGATTGAGGATATTATTTTCCATTTATTTATACATTATTTATGTTTATTTTAATTTCTAATTTAATTAGTATGATTCCTTATTCATATGCTTTAACAGCACAATTTGTATTTATTATTTCATTAAGTATGATTATTTGATTAGGTATTACTATTTTAAGTTTATTTAAACATGGTTGAGTATTCTTCTCATTATTTGTACCATCAGGTACAGCTTTACCTTTAGTACCTTTATTAGTTGTAATTGAATTATTATCTTATGTTGCTAGAGCTTTCTCTTTAGGTTTAAGATTATCTGCTAATATCTTCTCTGGACATTTATTAATGGCTATCTTAGCTGGTTTAACTATAACTTTTGTACAAATTAATATCTTTACTTTAATTTTAGGATTTATCCCTTTAGCTATTATCTTAATTATTATGTGCTTAGAATTTGGTATTGCTATTATCCAAGCCTACGTTTTCTCTATCTTAGCCTCTTCTTACTTAAAAGATGGTTTATACTTACATTAATTTATATAATACAAATAAATTAATTATATTATAATATTCTTTAATTAATTATTATTAATAATAATAATATAAGTAATTATTATATAAAATATTATATACATTATATAATAATAATTTATAAAAAAAAGTATATATTAATAATAATAATAAAATAATAATTATATAAATATATATATATATATATATATATTAATTATTTAAATATATAATAAAGATTATAAAAAATATAATATTATGCAATTAGCATTAGCCGCAAAATATATTGGAGCTGGAATTTCAACAATTGGATTAATTGGAGCAGGTATTGGTATTGGTATCGTATTCGCTGCATTAATTAATGGAGTTTCAAGAAATCCATCATTAAAAGATACATTATTCTCATATTCTATTTTAGGAATGGCTTTATCAGAAGCTACAGGATTATTCTGTTTAATGATCTCATTCATGTTATTATTCGCTGTTTAATAATAATAATGTTTACTATTAATATAGTAATATTATAATATTCTTAATAAATAAATATTTAAATATATAAATAAATATTATAATATATATTATAATAATATATACTAATTAATATATATTAATTATATTAATAATATATATATATAATTATTAAATATACTAATTATATATTTAATATATTATATAATACTAATTATATATTTAATATATTATATAATACTAATTATATTTTATAATATATATATAATAATATATAATATTTAATATATTAAATAATATATATAATATTTATTATATAAATAATATATAAATATTAATTTATATAAAATAATATATAAATATTAATTTATATTCAATAATATATAAATATAAATTTATTATTAATTATTTAATAATATTAATAATAATAATAATTATTTTATTAGTTTATATATATGTATGTATATTTTATTTTTTAAGGAAATAGATATAAGTAATATATAAAGGACACGAAAGTCTAAAAAGATTAAGAAAGTATAAATTATGTTAAATTTATTAAATACATTATTTTTAAATGTTATTAGTAATGATGTGCCAACACCTTATGGTATTTATTTTCAAGATTCAGCTACACCTAATCAAGAAGGTATTTTAGAATTACATGATAATATTATGTTTTATTTATTTATTATTTTAGGTTTAGTATCATGAATGTTATTTACAATTGTTAAAACATATTCAAAAAATCCTATGGCATATAAATATATTAAACATGGACAAACTATTGAAATTATTTGAACTATGTTTCCAGCAGTAATTTTATTAATTATTGCTTTCCCTAGTTTCATTTTATTATATTTATGTGATGAAGTTATTTCACCAGCTATGACTATTAAAGCTATTGGATATCAATGATATTGAAAATATGAATATTCTGATTTTATTAATGATAATGGTGAACTAATTGAATTTGAATCATATGTTATTCCTGATGATTTATTAGAAGAAGGACAATTAAGATTATTAGATACTGATACTTCAGTAGTAGTACCTGTTGATACACATATTAGATTTGTAGTAACAGGAGCTGATGTTATTCATGATTTTGCTATTCCTAGTTTAGGTATTAAAGTAGATGCTAATCCTGGTAGATTAAATCAAGTATCAGCTTTAATTCAAAGAGAAGGAGTATTCTATGGACAATGTTCAGAATTACTGCGGTGTTAATCATGCTGCCATGCCTATTAAAATTGAAGCTGTATCATTACCTAAATTCTTAGAATGATTAAATGAACAATAAATAAATAAATATATATATACACTATATATTTATATATAATATTCTTATTTTATATATATAAGTAATAATAGCCTTTATAGCTTAGTGGTAAAGCGATAAACTGAAGATTTATTTACATGTAGTTCGATTCTCATTAAGGGCATTAATATAAGTAGATATAATTTAATCGGTAAAATGTATGTTTTTAGGTACATATTATCTAAGTTCAAATCTTAGTATTTACAAATAAATAAAAATAAAAAGGAGGTGTTGTTTAAAGGTTAAGCTATTAGATTGCAGATCTACTTATTAAGAGTTCGATTCTCTTCATCTCTTTATAATATATACATTAGGATATTAGCTTAATTGGTATAGCATTCGTTTTACACACGAAAGATTATAGGTTCGAATCCTATATTTCCTACATTTAATAATATATAATAATATTATTAATTAATTAAATTATAATATATATAATATATAATATGAATTATATATAATTATAATATTATATTAAATATATATTTTATATATATATTTAATTTTTATTAATATATTAATATATATATATGTATATTATTGTATATATATATATATATATTTAAAGATATTAAATTTATAAATTTATTAAAATAAATGACACATTTAGAAAGATCAAGACATCAACAATATCCATATCATATGGTATTACCATCACCATGACCAATGTTATTATCATTTGCATTATTATCATTAACATTATCATTAGGATTAACAATGCATGGTTATATTGGTAATATGAATTTAGTATATTTAGCATTATTAGTAGTTCTATTAACAAGTGTATTTTGATTTAGAGATGTAATTGCAGAAGCAACATATTTAGGTGATCATACAATTGCAGTTAGAAAAGGTATTAATTTAGGTTTTTTATTATTTGTATTATCAGAAGTATTAATTTTTGCAGGTTTATTTTGAGCATATTTTCATTCAGCAATGAGTCCAGATATTGTATTAGGAGCTAGTTGACCTCCAGTAGGAATTCAAGCAGTACAACCTACAGAATTACCTTTATTAAATACTATTATTTTATTATCATCAGGTGCTACTATTACATATAGTCATCATGCATTAATTTGTAGAAATAGAAATAAAGCTTTATCAGGTTTATTTATTACTATTTGATTAATTATTATTTTTGTAACTTGTCAATATATTGAATATACTAATGCTGCTTTCACTATTAGTGATGGTGTTTATGGATCAGTATTCTATGCTGGTACTGGTTTACATTTCTTACATATGGTTATGTTAGCTGTTATGTTAATTATTTGTTATTGAAGAATGAGAACATATCAATTCACATCTACTCATCATGTAGGTTTTGAAACTACTATTTTATATTGTCATGTATTAGATATTATCTGATTATTCTTATATATCGTATTCTATTGATGAGGTGTATAATATAATATAATATATATAATATTCTTTATTATTATAAGTAATTATATATAGCTATTTTGGTGGAATTGGTAGACACGATACTCTTAAGATGTATTACTTTATAGTATGAAGGTTCAAATCCTTCAAATAGCATATCTTAATAATTATATGAGTCGTAGACTAATAGGTAAGTTACCAAAATTTGAGTTTGGAGTTTGTTTGTTCGAATCAAACCGATTCAATATTAATTATTAATATAAAATATATTTTATAGAGAGTATTGTTTAAAGGTAAAACAGTTGTCTTTTAAGCAACCCATGCTTGGTTCGAATCCAGCTATTCTCAATTAATATATATATATAACATTATAGCTCTCTTAGCTTAATGGTTAAAGCATAATACTTCTAATATTAATATTCCATGTTCAAATCATGGAGAGAGTATAAGTAATAAAATAAAATAGATATAAGTTAATTGGTAAACTGAATGTCTTCCACACATTGATTGTGAGTTCGATTCTCACTATCTATATATTTTAATGGATCCATAGCTTAATAGTAAAGTCCTATTTTGTCATAATAGAGGATGTCAGTGCAAATCTGATTGGATTCGTTATATATATATATAAATATATAGGAAAATTCACCATAGGTAAGGTAAATTATTTGCTATGTAATTGAATTTATTATTCTTATGAGTTCGAATCTCATATTTTCCGTCTTATTATATAAATAAAGGATGGTTGACTGAGTGGTTTAAGGTGTGATATTTGAGCTATCATTAGTTTTAATAAACTACGTAGGTTCAAATCCTACATCATCCGTAATATATAATATATATATATAAGTAAGGAATAATAAATAAATAATAAAGAACATGATGTTGGTTCAGATTAAACGCTAAATAAGGACATGACACATGCAAATCAAACATTTATTATTGATAAAATAATAAATATGTGGTGTAAACGTGAGTAATAATATAAGAATTAATGAACTATAAAATAGATTAAATATCTAATAAATATATATATATAATATATATATATATATTAAATAAATATTTATTTAAAGTATAATATTTGTTTATAGTCAAGCTTATAATAGTTTAGGTAGTAGGTTAATTAATAGTTTATAACCTAGCCAACGATCTATAGTTAATAATGAAAGTTATAATAACCACGTTGACTTTGAAATATAGTCAATATCTATAAGATACAGCAGTGAGGAATATTGAACAATGATCGAAAGATTGATTCAGTTACTTATTAGAACAATATATAATAATATTTATTAATATATAATATTAATATATAAAATATATATATAAATTGATTAAAAATAAAGTTCATAAATAGTTTAAATAATGATATAAACTAATCTTTTATTAATAAAGATATATATTTAAGTTATTATTATTTAATAATTTTAATTTAAATATATTTTAATAGTCCTAACCAAAATTTGTGCCAGCAGCTGCGGTAATACAAAGAGGGCTAGCGTTAATCATAATGGTTTAAAGGATACGTAGAATTAATATAATATAAAATTATATTTAGAGTTAATATATATTAATTAAAGAATTATAATAGTAAAGATGAAATAATTATGATAATTATAAGACTGGTATATGTGAAAATATTAATTAATTTATTAACTGACATTGAGGTATTAAGACTAGAGTAGCGAAACGGATTCGATACCCGTGTAGTTCTAGTAGTAAACTATGAGTACTATATATTATAATATATATATTTATAATATATACATGAAAATGTAAGTATTCCACCTGAAGAGTACGTTAGCAATAATGAAACTCAAAACAATAGACGGTTACAGACTTAAGCAGTGGAGCATGTTATTTAATTCGATAATCCACGATTAATCTTACCATATTTTGAATATTTATATATATATAATAATATATATATAATTACAGGCGTTACATTGTTGTCTTTAGTTCGTGCTGCAAAGTCTTAGATTAAGTTCATTAACGAACACAACTCCATATATATAATAATATATTATATATAATTAATATAATTTATTATAAATTATATTATAAAGGAATTAAGACAAATCATAATGATCCTTATAATATGGGCTATAGACGTGCTATAATAAAATGATAATAAAATTATATAATATATAATAATAATAAAATTATATATAATTAATAATATAAAACATTTTATATTTTTATATATTTTTATATAATATATAATATGAATTATAATCTGAAATTCGATTATATGAAATAAGAATTGCTAGTAATACGTAAATTAGTATATTACGGTGAATATTCTAACTGTTTCGCACTAATCACTCATCACGCGTTGAAATATATTATTATCTTAATATATAATAACATATCTATATTTTTATATAAATAAATATATATTAATATAATATATAATTATATAGTTGAAATAATATTAATTAATGCGAAGTTGAAATACAGTTACTGTAGGGGAACCTGCAGTGGGATTATAAAACTCTTTAATATTCTTTATAAATAAA